CCAACCGCTGGGGCAAACCTTGCCCTACTCGATCCGTGGGTTCGCCTGGATCGACTGGCCCAAGTTCCTTCCTTTTTGAGCGTCCGGGAGTTGGACGCTCAGAAAACACATTTGGTTGAAAGGCACCCTTGTTCTCAGGTACTATCCTTTTCTGACAGGCCATCCATGTCTCTGTGTCAAAGAGTACTGAGTAGATCGTATATTATACCGTAGATGATTTATCACTTGCCCGGGTTGATGCTTCGTGCACCCCCGACTTAATGGCCCCCACATTGATCAGGGTCTTCCAACTTGTCTTGTGGTCCCAGATTCTAGAGAAGTGAGTTGGATTCATTCCCTAAGGATCCAAGTACCCTCTGAGAAGGTGGGACTGGGGTTGGTGCCAGGACAATCCAGTCGTACCTTTTGAGGAGGTACGACTGGATCCTAGGGATTGGAATCATTGGAGATTCTGAGATGGTATGGGTCGACCCACCAAGTAGCGAAGGACTTGGTTACAGGGTCCATCCTCCGATCTGCACCGAGGTTACCGGAGATCATCCGCTGCGGCTCCCAATGCCACGTGGGCTGCACCGGTTCGGAGGCTTCATAGAGATCCCCCGGGAACAGAACCACATGGAACCTGATGGCAGGGACCACCTGGCAGACCATTTTCCTCTACAAGCCGGGCGGTGGTGTTCAGGTTCCGTGTGAATTTGCCAGGGTGTAAGCATCCCTAACGATCTCGATGTTCAGGAGGGTGGCTCTTCTATCATTTGGGGGGTCTCGATATCAGTTGGTGACGATTGGAATTGGAATCGCAGATCCTTGTGAATGTGTCTCATAAGTCAGTTGAGCAGATCTCCATCAGCCTTCATTCAATACTTGGAGACTATGGAGACTAACTAAGTCAGGTAGCTGCAGCTAGCTTTCCTTAAGGACAATCCCTAAACCTAAGGAGCTTAAGGACTCATAAGGACTCCAGGAATGAGTTTCCTTTGTAAAGGATTGAGAACCGACGTGGACCGTGCCGACCTCCAGAAGGACTCCTTCAGCGCACTGCCTGGTCAGTGGACAATGACGATGACAAGGATGTGGTCACCTGGACCCACCCGATTCCGATTCCGAAGAAAGTTTGAGATGTCAATTCGCGACCCCAAAAAGTGCCATGCTGGACCCAAAAAGTGATATGTACGGTTTACATTAAAATGATATATGTTATACGAGGGGGTGTCTCCTGAGAGGTAGACTTGGACCACAATTTCCCTGGGACAAACAATCTTGTCAGGTTTCCACGGAGGATTGGGCTTCAAAAATCAGCCTGGTCAAGCTGAAGTGTTTGTATGGCGTTCAATATGCAGCAAAATGTCCAGTCTGCAAGTTTCCGCCATATGTCCGCAGATTTTCGCCATAGACGTGTTTGTCAAATTTTGCAAGTTGCAGCGCATCCAAAGTTACCCCTTCATCAAACCTTGGAATGCCCAAAGTTGAACTGGAGAGTCTGCTGTGTAGGGTTTATTAGGGTTTAGGGTTTAATCAATTCTGCACCAGTATTGTGTCCTGTGCAGGTCAAGATCCCCAAAGAGCACAAACAGTGACATATTGCACTTCTTTTGGCATGACAGCGTCAAAAAGCTAATTGTTTGACCTATGTAATGTGCTTTATTTTGCATTCAAAGGTTGCTCCAGGCAGGAACCCTTCCGAATCCCGCAGGGAATTCTCACAACTTATATCACAGAAGCCAACAAATCGATGAATTCCAAGTGTAACTTACAGATCGTGTGAGAGAGGGAACAGCTCATGTGAACAACATGTTACCGCCCCCTCGTCTTTTCCCCACTCCAAATCCGGAGCTGGGTCACCGTCCGCCTGGTCCAGAGCCAGCGCGAGGGTCGCCGAGGTATGATCCCCTGAGAGTCCGGTGGTGAGGTCAGGCCTCAAAAGCGCTTGGCTGTTGGGGGGGTGGAGTTGAGATAGGCTGTATCCCTGTGGGGTGGAGTTGAGTTTGATTCTGGTACAAATCCATGGCAAGCTCCAGGGAAACAAATATGCCTCAAGTGTGCAGCCAAAAAAGGCTCCAACAACTGATTGGACTGAAGAGTGAACTATGGGGAGACTCCTACCCTCAGACTTTTCATTTCTGGGATGTGAACGATGGGGGTGCAGAAAGGGTCACCATTGTAGAGTTCTTTTAAACCCATGGCAGAAAGGTGCCTTGAGCGGTTCTTTCGGGATGCTCTTTCAGTGTTTTTGAGCAATCTAATTAATTGGCTGCAGTTTCAAGCTTGCCTACCGAGCCGGACAGAAACCACCTACTGAGCCTTTTCATTTCTCACCATAGGAAGCCTACTGAGCCTGAGGGCACCTAAAACACGTTATATATGGGGAAGACTGATGGGAAGACTGAGGCAGGCTGGGCGACTCGATTAGTTGAAAAAGTTGTCCTGCTGGAAGAATTGGTTTTGCCATGTCTTGCCAGGCTACTCAGCTACTCCTCCGAAAGTCGAATCAACTCACCCCCCCCCCCCCCCCGGCCCTTCTGCCGCGCTTCCACGCGTCTGACGGGAGGTGATGGACCAGCACCCGCGCCACCGGAGTGCGTAGATCGCTGCGGTGGCGCTTTCGTTGCCCGAAATCCCATGACTCGATTGTCGCCCCTCGGAGAACCGAGCGGGTTTTTGGAAAGGCGACCAACTGCTGGTGGCCGTTTTGGAGCGAAAGGCATTCAACTCACTTAAATAGGTGTTTGTTGTTGTGTTTTATTTGATTGATTTGTTCGGATGTTGCTGGTGTGCAGTGTATACAACTGCTGTTGATTTCCAGGGATCCGCTGCAAAGATGTGTACCAGGAGTGAAACTTGATTCGAATAGTTTTTCTTTCCCTAAGGATCCAAGTACCCTCTGAGAAGGTGTTTGGGGTGGGTTTGGAGGGTCCAAGTACCTTTTGAGGAGGTACTTGGATCCCTAGGGTTTGATAAGCAACAGAAGATGGTCCGAAGGCTGATGCCACTCGGTCTATGGCCTCGGATTTCTGAACTTGTGATGTGGGCGTCTGAATTTTCTGCCACCAGTGGCACGTCGCTCTGGGGCCACACATGGCTACACCACACTGGACCCGGCAAGTTCTACAACCACCGGGGTATTCACCAGTTGATCAATAGCTTCTTAGAACGGTTTTCGACTGATCCCGGCTTCAAGTAAGACTATCACAATCCGCTACAACCCCCAAACCATCCCAAACCTCCAAATCCATTGTCTATAGCGGCCACTTGCAGGTAGGTCGCCTTCTTTAAGGGCGGAGTGACCTACCCAAGGCCTCAGACACCCCGAAAGGGCTGCGTCTTGGCTCGGTCGCTGCCGCGGGCTCCGCTAGCCGGGCGCTGCCGCCCCGTTCCGGCGCTCGTCGGCCTCGGCGACGTGCTGCGAGTGTCGGAGGGGTTCACAGACCCGAGCGGGCCGCTTTTCCTGCCGCTTTTGCTGTGTCAAGAGGCAACATGTCATGTATGGTGAATCGCGAATGTGTCGATGTTTTTCATGTGCAGGTTTATGTTTTGTTTTGGGGGACAGGTCTTGAGATGTGCTTGCATGATCTTCTCTGGGAAGCTTGACACAGCTCCCGTGGCCATTAAAGTGCTAACATGAGCCCTGTGGATCTAGTTGCGCTGGCCACCAGAGTGGCCCCTTGAGGCTGTTTTCGTCAAACTAAGTGTCAAACTATGCAGTTCCATTCAGTGAATCATGCCATGAATTACACAGATTTCATCCTTTTTTCATACCACTGGATCCTAGCTGGGCCAGTAGTCGGTCGTCCTCATTTGTTCTCAAAAGAGATGAAAAAGCAACGAACCGCAGCAACGAACCGCACAGCGGAACCGTGGAGATCACATCCGTACAAGACATGCAGTGCATGGAAACTGATTGAGTGGTTGTTTGAGATCCCGAAAGGGATCCGTTTTCGTAGCGAACCTCAGGTTCGGTACGAGTGGACCCTCCAAACGCAGCTACAGTGGACCCTCCACAGAACCGTCCCCTCAGAGGGTATGTGGATCACAAATACACTCCCTGCAACTATCACGGAGACCAAACAGGGGGCTGCCATGCACTTGCATGTCAGTTCCAGGGTGAGTACGTGTCAGTTCCATCCAATGTCCATTTTCAAGGACGCTACTAGGGCTCCTGGCCTTACAGGAACAAGAAGCTACGAACGGGGCTCCTCGCATCGCTACGAGTTCGGAGCGATCGGACGCTACGAACGGACGGACTCAACTTGGTGATGTTTGTTCTGGCTCGAGCATTGGGCGAGGCTCCGAGGTTCAGCTTTTCATCCTTTGAAACGAAGAAGTTTCGTTGGGTCTGACCTCTACAGAGAGTAATGCATTGGGTCTGTCCGTTGCCTGTAACTGTCAGTAAACACCTGTAACTGTCAGATACAGGTTGTCACTGATTTGTCACTATTTTGGACTTAAGGCCTTTACATGCCTTTACTAACAGTTACTAACCATCATCATCCACGGTTACCGGTAGTGGGATAGACCCAAGAGTAATGCATATAGAAAAAGTGAACATTGGTCGATTCTCTCATCAGATCCTTAGTTTGGTTGCTGGCCACACAGCCCAAATGCTGGCTACACCTCCGATTTCGGGTGCTTTTTTTTTAATGTTTTTGGCTTCTTAAGCCATACAGAGATGTTCATTTGAGATCACGCGGGTCTGTGCGTCTCAAGAGGGATCCCCCTAACAGCTTGATGCATTGCGAACCTTGCGGTCGGCGGTGAAGCCTGCAGCTGTGAAGCCTTATTGGTCACAAGACTTCTCATTGGCAGCTACACATCTACATGCTGATAAGCAAAACATCAAGTTGAGGAAATGAGTCTCCAAGCTTTGCCAAGATGCCTCAAGCAATCCTTTGCACCTGGCGCCAAGGACTCCTTAGGCACCCTTCCAGACTCCAAACGCGCAAGGAGTCTGGCAGTGACCTGGCCTGCCTTTGGCACCGGCGCCCTTTTCCTCAGTACGTGCCATGAACTTTTGCCCCTTTCCTCATAGTCTGAGGGACCAGGCCTGGCTGGCCGTGGGCCTCGGCTGTGGAGTGCTCCTCATGCGAAAGCTTCGGATGAAGGAGGCGCCTGGGCGAGCTCTGAAGAGCTCTGAACAGCTGAAGGGAGTCGAGACGGGAGGCATTGGCTGGGAAGTCCCTTTCAAAGATGGAACGATGGATTTGGAGGACGTTTTGCTACCAGAAGGGTCCATTAAAGATGTGCGCGTTTGCAACTGCGCAGTGGTATTTGGTCGGGTCACTCGCATGTATAAGGGTGGTGAATGGTGGTTCAACAAGGGTGTGGGCGGTCACATCCCATGATGAGCAAAGCACGTGTCCAAGCAAACATGTTGCTTTCTTGCAATGACTGCTTCAGTTCGATTCCTCAGCAAGTACGTGCAGATCCAATTGGCGCCATCACTGACCAGTTCCCGCATTCGTGTCCCATGCACTCCTGTAGCCTCCGTATAAGCACTGCAGAAGCACGGGCACGGCACATACTCCGTGGCTGGCCACCTTGGTGCACACCCCGCCTCCGTCCCGTGCAGACGCCGCCATCGGTGCACGTGCTGCTGGTCAACGCGAAGGCGAGAGCCTGCGCGGCGCTGGAATCCAAGATGATTTTGAGGGCTGGTATATAATATATCCATATATATCCTGGTATATATCCTGGTATGTCATACCGGCCGGTGCTTTCACCCGAAGTGTGAGTCGGGCATATGACTTTGCATATTGTTACATGCTTTTACGATTCAATCGGGGCGTTGAAACGGCTTGGTGACGGCGTGGTGATGTTGGGGATGTGATCCTCGCGATCGCGAAAGAGGTGAATTGACCGCATGGAGGTGTTGGACCAACCAGCAAAGCTCGATGCAAAAAATGATGCCCACAAATGCGAAGATCTTCCCAATGTTTTTTGTTTCCGTCACAGCATGTCACAGCCTTTGTGTGGGGAGCGTCGAAACTTGCCCTCCAGAGATATATCTCACTATAGTGCTGAGACCTGTTGGAAAACCACGTCCAACTGAGCCCTGCTGTGAGTGCCTTGCAGATCTCCACTGGGAACTCGCGCCGCGTGAGGTCACTCGAGTGAAATTCCCCACCGTGTTCTGGGGTATGACTTGTTGGGATGAAGCGATGGTTTCTAGAAGCTTCTGCTAGAGAGTGAACCATACAGGAACTCCTCACCCGCTACCTGGCAAAACCTTCAGCATCTCTACCACAGATCCGGAGCGATTGGTCCCTGGAGAAGTTTTGAGGTATGACTTGGCCTCCCTTTGTGTGATTTTGCCTGTCCAAGCCCGGTCCAAGACCAGTGTTGACGACCTTAGACTGCGCAGTTTGAGTCGGTGGATCACAAGAAGAAGTTCAAGCAGATTTGGTCCAACATCGCCAACAAGGTGAAGGAAGTAGAGCCCAACTGCCTGTTCGAGAGCCCAGAAAAGCCGCAGTTGAACACATCACCTGCCATTTCATGGGTGTCATACCTGAGGTCTCCAACTAGATCACATGCCGAAGCCTGGCACAAAAGCCCTAGGTTAAGACGGTTTAACCCTACAAGTCCAGGTAGGCCGTGTTGGTCTACCTGGTTTGACTGACCTCATGGAGTACTGGTTCGGCATGTTCCCCGACCCAGGTCTTGTAAGGTCCAACGGATCCTCACTACATCTGTCTCACTTGGATAGAAACCTTATTGCCAGGTCGGTCCTGATTCCCCCCGAGTTCGATGCTTCGCAAAGCCTCAAGGGGTCTGTTTGCTTACGTGGTGCGTGGTTTCGCTTCGCTTTTCTGCGCTATACCCTGCCGATTCCGAGCTGGTGAGCCGTCACCTTCAGCTCCTTCGAGATCTTCACCTCCTTTCCACCCCGTCAACCGCGCAGAACCAACCGGCTGACGACCCGTCAGACACCTCAGGCCGTCTGAAACAGCCGAGGTCCTACGAGTTCTGCGACGCGGTGGAGGATCCCACCAAGGCCATCATCTATGAGCGGTACTCTCCTCGAAAGATGGGTGGAAAGACGAAGGTATAGTCAGTATAGTTACTCTTGATTTGATTCTTCAGACTGGGGGAGTGAAATATTAAGAGTTGACATGGATCTTTCTCTTAGGAATCGGTCTCTTGCAGCAAGGATATCAGTGGTTTGAGCAGGCTTTGGAGCCCTTCGGGATCCAAATCTCAAGCTTTCCTTTTCGAGCATCGAGGTCATTGGCAGGCGGCTGCTTCGGCCTGGCAGAAGGCTCACCAACAGGAAGAGGTTCATTGAACTGAATTCTCCTTTCTGGCCTCACCGGGCCCTTTAGCGGTGTCTGCGGGGAACCACCGTTCAGCATCTTTCTCCTTCCAGCTGTGGGGCACCTGGCGGTTTGGTGGAACAGACCCAGCCGGCTGGGACAGACCTGCAAACGCCGAGGTACGTGACGCGTGTAGACTTGGATGGACCACACCAGAAGACACTCGAGGAGAGGGACGGGTTTCTTCCTCGGCAGACCTGGGCCCTGGGCGGGGTTTCTTCACTCTGCAGTTCATGCAGAACACGCTTTTCGACACACGAGAAGACGCGGATGTTGAGCGGAGCGGGCGTGTTGAGCGAGCGGAGCGAGCGGCCGCTGGGCCAATCAAGCCTCTTGCGGGGCCTCTTGGTTTGGCGAGTTGAGGCACCAGATTCCTTTCGCCAAGTCCCCCAGACTCTGAGAAAATCATGGTCTTAGTTAGTTGTCCTCACCCTTTGTGAAGTCCAAGTGAGGCTGGGCCAAGCATGTATCAGTTTCCAAGATCCACCCCCACCTTCGCATGGCGACGACTCGACGTGACTCGGCGGCAGACTCCTTCCTCAACTAGGAGTGGAAGGCGACCTACGGCGAGGCCTTGGGAAACCTGAAGTTCAGTATGGATGCTGGGCTCAACTACCGGGGGTCCGGTGCCCAGACACGACGATCCATGGGACTGCTATATATATATATATATATAAATGCCGCCCCATTGACCCCACAGTCCACCACCCCAACTGATTTGGCAGTCCTATGGCAGTCCCATGGAGTGTCCGGTGCTTTTTTTTCCCCATCGGACCGGTCCGGTGGCGTTCAGCATGTGGCGCGCCCGGGGTGGGTTCTCCGCGTGGGGTGGGTGAAGCATGGTGAAGCCGGTGGGTAGCAGGTCCGATGTGGAGTGTGGAGGGGCGTGAAGAGACGACCAGTGACCACCATGGACCACCCATTCGCTTGGATCCAGTGGCACCTCTTGTTTGCAGGTTCATGGACGTTGCTACAGGTATAATGAGGGTAAATCAATGAGATCACTGTTTACTGAAATCATCCAGACCCCTGAAACAGGTTTCAAACAGAAAGGCTGGATTGTTTCAGTGAACTGTGAACCACTGCTTGCTGTAAATGGAACAACGTGGGATACATGAGCTGCGGGAGAGCTACTGGATGTTTCGGTGGATGGTGTGGAAGTGGGCACCTTGTCGACGCTTGTCCTGGAAGAAGGCAATTAGACTTTGAACCTGGCCATGCCCTAGGGCTCCAGTCGTACCTTCTTAGAAGGTGTATGGGGAGGGTTTAGAAGGTCCAAATACCTTCTGAGGAGGTACGACTGGAGACCTAGGGATGATCTTGCCGGGTTCGCTGGATGAATCAATGACTCGATCATCAGTTCCGAGAACCCTGCGAGCCATTGAATCATGATTGGTCCAAGTGATGAAGTGGACACACGTTCTTTCCGCATGTTCACTTCCCCCCACATACTTGTTTACAGGCATCCTGGCCTTGTCAAAATACTATTCAAAGACTCACAGCCATCCAGAACTTGGTTCGTATTGTAGTTCCTTTCTTTTCTGAGATATAGACCAAGAGTTTGACATGTCCATTCGCCAGCTGGCCAACATATGCAACCCAATCCCTTTTTGACTTTTTGGACACGGTTTTTAGAACCGGGCATGCTCAGAAGTGTACATAGTGTTTCATATTGTTTCCAAGGAATCAGAAGGAGAGTTCCTTCTGCAGCGGACTTGGAAAAAAGGCACAGACAACACTGCAGCAAAAAAAAGCACACACTTGGATGGGAGTTCCCTTTGTCTAGCCATATTAGGGTGCTTCAAACAGCAGTGCCTCTGTGTTCGTTTGTTCCGCACATTCCGCCGGAAACTACGAATTCAGCTCCGTGGTATATGTGTACCCTAAGAATCATTGGACCCTCCTATGGAGGGTGACCTGACCCTGCAGGTTCCGCAGGGCCCTTGGACCCGAACCAAACCTTCACCGAACGGGTCGGGTCCTTGATTCTTGGGGTATACGATGTTTTAGGGTCATGTTCGGCTTGATTCTTGGAATAGGAAGATTCCGTTCAGTCGCCCCGGAACCCACACGAAGAGGCGCCGATTGGATGTGCTAGGCGGCGGATGGGCGACACAGACAAATAGCAGGAATGAAAGCATGTATACCGTGGTAGATCCATTGCTGTACAACTCCGGGTGTTTGAATTGGGTCTTCAGAACGCCGGCGCTGTTTGTTAGGAGCTTGTCAACTATGTCGAAAGCAATATTGGCTACATGGACAAGTGAGGAGATGAAGGGCATTGTGCCGATCAAAACACGTAGCGATTTCACGGTGTGCGCCAGTTTCTCCGCTGGTTCGTCGTGACGTGGAAAATTGGGGTTTCCATTGAATCATGAAAGGGAGAGCAAGGTCATAGACCGCCAGAGTTGAAGTGGAACACCACGGCCCTAAGAAGATGAACCTAGGAGCAATATGGCCTCCAACCTATGGCCGCAATGGCCTCCACCCTCCTAGCCGCGATGGCCACACCCCTAAGGATCAAACGTTCGAGATCCGGTTCACATCCTGCGTGGTTTCAAAACGGTGTACCATCCGACTCTGGGCTGGAATCCATCAGGGTGCTTTCGTTGAGTTACACATGTCGTTGTCCTTTAGTTGCGCATGTCGTTATGCTTTGCTGGAGAAATGGATGAATCCGCAAGTCATGTTATCAATTGAGGAGTGCTTGAGCCAGTAGGTGCAGGGCTGGTGCAGGGCTTGTGCAGGGCTTCAGGATCCCATAGGATCCCGAGTCCACAACATGCCCACTCTTTCGTAAACTTTCGTCGAGGATGTTCAGCCAAGCTTGATGGGGTACCCAGATATACCTGGGCCCGACTTCAAGTACCTTGGAAAATGGGACATGACCCCATAAAAAAAAGACACTGACAGGTACTTATATACTTGTACCCATTGAACCCGAGGTACGAGTTACGGGTCGACTCCAGGCACTGAGTACTTGAATTTTCCTTCCGTTCTTCTTGTTGTTTGGACTTGAATATCTTCGGACCTCAACGACCGAGGGGTCCGAGCGCGGAGAAGGGGCGGTCCGAGTGTCCGAAACGTTCAGAGTGTCCGAAACAACTGCACGTCGGACTGTTTTTTTTTTTTTTTTTTTTTTTTTTTTTTTTTTTTTTTTTTCGCAGGTCGTTCAGGCTGAAACGGTTTGGCCCTGACAGCTGCATATTGCTGTGATTTTTGTTTGCCACATGACTGGATGGAACACAGACAGACAAGGGCACCTCAAAAAATTAGATCAAGTGTGGCCTTTTCTTTGGAGATTAGACTCAGACTCTTAGACAATGTTAGACCCTAAGAAGACTAGGACCGGCTAGGTGTGTGAGAAGAGCTCACAGTGGGTGGGAGTTATTGTCTATCTCCAGACTGCTCGCAGAGTTTTTTGGCTCTAAACATCGTCTTGCCGCGAGATATTCTTTCGTGCCCTTGGCAAGTCAGCAGGCAGGATTGGATCTGGGCATACTACAAATCCTGCAGAACATATTATTCCAAGGGAAGCCGAACGGCCGGTAGTGTGGGGTAGTCCATTGGACATCCCGACAGGAGGGTCCTGGTATTATTCCAAGCGTTTGAGGTGAGTACTTTGGCAACCGGGCCGACGCGTTTCTCTCGTCGCCAGGAACGTCGAACGATGGGCTTCATGGAACGCTTCGCACGCTTTTGGCTGCACCGCTCGGCGTGCCCAGTGGCGGCCGAGTACGCGTGGGCGATGACGAAGGAGCTGACGTCCTTATACGTCCTTTGCATGTTGTTGACAGGTCGATACTCTGAAAGAAAGGGGATATGTATGGATATGTCGCGAACTTCGCGCGTGGGTCGTTTGTGTACCATGGATGCCTCACGAGATCTCACGAGGCAGGAAGGGATCATAAAGTCAGACATGACATTTGAGATCCCCGGTCTATTAGCTTGGCTGAAATGGGAGTGGCTAGAGGACCTGGGGCCATTTTATTTTGATTTTGGTCTCTGACCTCACTGCAGGCATGAGGTACCATGGAAGGTTGGGTACCCTGGGCCAGGCCTAAATTTATCCAGGGCCTGGGTGTGCCAGCGTGCAAGCAATAAAGACTAGTTGATGTGTTGGGTACCTACCATTTATATAATCTAAACCGTGCAAACACTTTTAGCCACATGTCTCTTTGTAGAGCTCAAGGTGCTTGGATAAAATGCAAGGGACCCAAGAAATTACAGCACACAACATTACAAACACTCAAGCAAAACGTGATTTCAGCCTATGTTGGGTGGGTATGTTGTTGTTGTTGTTGTT